TTTTTAATACTTGGTTGCAAATCCTTTGCAGTCAATTACAGCCTGAAGTGTGGAACGCATAGACATCAGCAGACGCTGGGTTTCATCCCTGGTGATGCTCTGCCAGGCCTCTACTGCAACTGTCTTCAGTTCCTGCTTGTTCTTGGGGCATTTTCCCTTCAGTTTTGTCTTCAGCAAGTGAATTGCTCAATCGGATTCAGGTCAGGTGATGGACTTGGTCATTGCAGAACATTCCACTTCTTTGGTGTCTTTTGCAGTCTGCTTTGGGTCATTGTCCATCTGCACTGTGAAGCGTCCAATGAGTTGTGAAGCATTTGGCTGAATATGAGGAGATAATATTCCTGAAACACTTCACAATTCATCCGGCTGCTTCTGTCAGCAGTCACATCATCAATAAATACAAGAGAAGCAGTTCCATTGGCAGCCATACATGCCCACGCCATGACACTACCACCACCATGCTTCACTGATGAGGTGGTATGCTTAGGATCATGAGCAGTTCCTTTCTTCTCCATCCTCTTCTCTTCCCATCACTCTGGTACAAGTTGATGTCGGTCTCATCTGTCCATAGGATGTTGTTCCAGAACTGTGAAGGCTTTTTTAGATGTCGTTTGGCAAACTCTAATCTGGCCTTCCTGTTTTTGAGGCTCACCAATGGTTTCCATCTTGTGGTGAACCCTCTGTATTCACTCTGGTGAAGTCTTCTCTTGATTGGTGACTTTGACACACATACACCTACCTCCTGGAGAGTGTTCTTGATCTGGCCAACTGTTGTGAAGGGTGTTTTCTTCACCAGGGAAAGAATTCTTCGCTCATCCACCACAGTTGTTTTCCGTGGTCTTCCGGGTCTTTTGGTGTTGCTGAGCTCACTGGTGCGTTCCTTCTTTTTAAGAATGTTGCAAACAGTTGTTTTGGCCACGCCTAATGTTTTTGCTATCTTTCTGATGGGTTTGTTTTGTTTTTTCAGCCTAATCATGGCTTGCTTCACTGATAGTGACAGCTCTTTGGATCTCGTCTTGAGAGTTGACAGCAACAGATTCCAAATGCAAATAGCACACTTGAAATGAACTCTGGACCTTTTATCTGCTCATTGTAATTGGGATAATGAGGGAATAACACACACCTGGCCATGGAACAGCTGAGAAGCCAATTGTCCCATTACTTTTGGTCCCTTAACAAGTGGGAAGCACATATGAAAACTGTTGTAATTCCTACACCGTTCACCTGATTTGGATGTAAATACCCTCAAATTAAAGCTGACAGTCTGCAGTTAAAGCACATCTTGTTCGTTTAATTTAAAATCCATTGAGGTGGTGTATAGAGCCAAAAATGTTAGAATTGTGTCGATGTCCCAATATTTATGGACCTGACTGTATATATATATAATGTTAAAGGGGTAAAAAGTAATTTTCTAGCAAAAAAAAAATACAGATTTTATTTTTAAATGCAAACAAAAAGTGTCAGAGAAGGTCTGGTCTTCAAGTGGGTAATCAGTGGAGCAGTTTGTTGCAAGTTTGTCTGCTTCCTCCTGCCTTCTAGAGGGTTCTGAAATGTTGTAGGTTGGGAGAGTCAAATCTACAACCTTAATATTTATGTGGTCCCAGCCAATCCCTAGGAGAGGGTACCCAGTGGGGGGCTGGGGAGTGCATAATTATTTGGGGAACTGAGGCAGCCCTGTCTTTGGAGAAGTTCCCATCCTGAAGGGCTGTTGCCCTCCCAGGCAGCCCAACTGAAATTCTCCCAGTGTTCAGTGAGGTCCTTGTCCAGGAGGAGAAGTTCCCATCCTGAAGGGCTGCTGCCCTCCCAGGCAGCCCAGCTGAAACTCTGCCTGTGTTCAGTGAGGTCCTTTTGCTGGAGAAGTTCCCATCCTGAAGGGCTGTTGCCCTCCCAGGCAGGTCAACTGAAATTCTGTCTGTGTTCAGTGAGGTCCTTGTCCTGGAGGAGAACTTCCCATCCTGAAGGGCTGCTGCCCTCCCAGGCAACCCAGCTGAAATTCTGCCTGTGTTCAGTGAGGTCCTTGTCCTGGAAGATAAGTTCCCATCCTGAAGGGTTATTGCCCTCCCAGGCAGCCCAACTGAAATTCTGCCTGTGTTCAGTGAGGTCCTTGTCCTGGAGGAGAAGTTCCCATCCTGAAGGGCTGCTGCCCTCCCAGGCAGCTCAGCTGAAATTCTGCCTGTGTTCAGTGAGGTCCTTGTCCTGCAGGAGAAGTTCCCATCCTGAAGGGCTGCTGCCCTCCCAGGCAGCCCAGCTGAAATTCTGCCTGTGTTCAGTGAGGTCCTTGTCTTGGAGGAGAACTTCCATCCTGAGGAGCTGCTGTCCTCCCAGGCAGCCCAGCTGAAAGTTTGCCTGTATTCAGTGAGGTTCTTGTCTTGGAGGAGAACTTCCATCCTGAAGGGTTGCTGCCCTCCATGGCAGCCCAGCTGAAATGCTACCTGTGTTTAGTGAGGTTCTTGTCCTGGAGGAGAAGTTCCCATCGTGAAGGGCTGTTGCCCTCCCAGGCAGGTTAACTGAAATTCTGTCTGTGTTCAATAAGGTTCTTGTGCTGGAGAAGTTCCCATTATGAAGGGCTGCTGCCCTCCCAGGCAGCTCAGATGAAATTCTGCCTGTGTTCAGTGAGGTTCTTGTCCTGGAGGAGACGTTCCCATCCTGAAGGGCTGCTGCCCTACCAGGCAGCCAAGCTGAAATTCTGCCTGTGTTCAGTGAGGTCCTTGTCTTGGAGGAGTACTTCCATCCTGAAGGGTTGCTGCCCTCCATGGCAGCCCAGCTGAAATGCTACCTGTGTTCAGTTACTGTAGATCCTTGTCCTGGAGGAGAAGTTCCATCCTGAAGGGCTGTTGCCCTCCCAGGCAGCTCAGTTGAAATTCTGCCTGTGTTTAGTAAGGTTCTTGTCCTGGAGGAGAAGTTCCCATCCTGAAGGGCTGTTGCCCTTCCAGGCAGGTCAACTGAAATTCTGTCTGTGTTCAATAAGGTTCTTGTGCTGGAGAAGTTCCCATTATGAAGGGCTGCTGCCCTCCCAGGCAGGTCAACTGAAATTCTGCCTGTGTTCAGTGAGGTCCTTGTGCTGGAGAAGTTCCCATCCTGAAGGGCTGTTGCCCTCCCAGGCAGGTCAACTGAAATTCTGTCTATGTTCAGTGAGGTCCTTGTCCTGGAGGAGAACTTCCCATCCTGAAGGGCTGCTGCCCTCCCAGGCAGCTCAGCTGAAATTCTGCCTGTGTTCAATAAGGTTCTTGTCCTGGAGGAGACGTTCCCATCCTGAAGGGCTTCTGCCCTCCCAGGCAGCCCAGCTGAAATTCTGTCTGTGTTCAGCGAGGTCTTTGTCCTGGAGGAGAACTTCCCATCCAGAAGGGCTGTTGCCCTCCCAGGCAGCCCAGCTGAAATTCTGCCAGTGTTCAGCGAGGTCGTAGCTTCTGCTGAGCTGGGGGGCCTACTTGCTGAGATTCACTGCAGCTTTATAAGGGATATTTCTGACGATCCAGCCTCGAGAGTTCACTAAGGAAAAATCTGTTGGATGTTGGAAGGTGGCATCCGAGTATCCTGGGACATGGTGAGTACAGACCTGTGTGCAGGATTCTGGTGACTGCTGCTGCTGCAACCCCTTGTGCGCTAAGGCAAATTTTTGCGTAACCTGGAACGTTGCATATGGTGTCTCAGTGCTGTCCATTTCTGGGCTACCACCGAAGGGACTGTTGCTAGGAGTGGCTCAGGGTTTCTGGAGTATTCCATGGCTCCCTGCATCTTACGTTATTCAGCAATAAATTCAAAAGAAAAGGAACCCCTAGACCAGGTGTGCTCAACCTTTTGAAGAGCCATTTAAGTGATTTGGTAAACAGTCGAGGGCCACAATCAAACTAAATGGTTCAGAATTTAAATTTTTGTTATTTTGAATAGCACAATGAACATTTTCTCTTGCAGCCGCTGAATGCCGGCATGAGGGAGAGAAGGAGAAGCTTTCAGAGGTTACAGGAGGGAAATGAAAGAGATCGGGTCCTGTATATGCCACCACACAATGTACTCTGATGCTCTGGGATGGTGGATCGGCAAGCCCAGATCACATTCAATGGGTTGCCGACTATTGGCATGAGCTTCCCTGGTTTGAGATCAAGGGCCACATCAGAGAGCTCAGAAGGCCACAGGCTAAGTACCCCTGCCCTAGACAGTTTAATGAACCCAACGAGTGACTGTTGCTGTGTGCCTGGCTGCTGCACTAAACTGGGAAAGGAAACCTGGTATAATTCAGTGGGCCCTTTCTGTGGCGAAGGCCAAATAACCGAAAATATGAAAAACTATTATAAGAACAACCAAAAAGGCCTCACTAAAGGAATTACAAAGTCCATTACTACCCTACTGAATATTTATGTGGTCCCAGCCAATCCCTGGGAGAGGGTACCCAGTAGGTGGCTGGGGAGTGCAAAATTATTTGGGGAACTGAGGCAGCTCTGTCCTTGTCCTGGAGAAGTTCCCATCCTGAAGGGCTGCTGCCCTCCCAGGCAGCCCAGCTGAAATTCTGCCTGTGTTCAATGAGGTCCTTGTCCTGGAGACCAGTAGTATTAAACCCAGTCCAGCCAGCTTTAGGGTCCTTTAGTTTTTGGATGGAACTCTCTATGACAAAGTATATTCATAATTCCAAGCTAGCAAGGGTGCTCCCAAAGGTAGGCATGCAGTGCTGGGTTGTGCATCAACCTTGGGAGAAGAGGAAGGATGTTCAAACTGCTCCCCAATGGGAAGGGAAGCCCCAATGGGAACGGAAGCTGATCTGAATCTTACCACTACCCTTCACAGGGAACACTTGAACTCCATAATTTGAATGGTGTATCCACATAAATTTGGCCATATAAAGTAGACCTACTCATGGTTTATCTTCTGTTTTCTATCTTTTATTTTATCTCCTCAGACCTTCTCTACTCACAGTTTGCTGACGTATACAGATGGACAACCAAACCACTAATTTTGAATTTGAACTTACTGGTTTCCCAGGAGTCCCTCAGAAGTTCCATACGCTGATGTCCTTCTTTTTATTCATTATATACAACATAATGTTTATCACCAACGGCACCGTTTTCATTGTGATCATCCTAAAGGAGAAGCTGCATGAGCCCATGTACATTCTAATCGCCAACTTGGCATTTTCTGACTTTCTCTTTGACGCGGCTACCTTGCCTAAAATGATTGGCAAGTATTGGTTCGATGGTGGCAAAATATCCTTCCTCGCCTGCTTTGTGCAAATGCATCTGGTCCATTGGCTGGCTGTAGTGGACTCATTTATCCTCATGTTGATGGCGTTTGACCGCTACATTGCTATCTGCAATCCACTGAGATATTCGTCTACAGTTACCTACAAAGCGATCCTGTTTAGCTGCGGTTTTATGTGGTTCTCCGCTGCTGTTATCACCTTAGACCTCATAATAATTTCCAAATACCCATTCTGTGGTCCAAACAAGATCGTCAGCTTCTTCTGCAACAGCTCAACCATCTTGCGCTTGGCCTATGCCGACGTTAATTCCACTCGAGAAATTCTTTTGACTGTAGCCTTGGTGGTTCTTTTCGGGACTCTAGCCCTCATCATGTTATCCTACATCGCCATCTTGCTTTCTGTTTTTTCATTGAGCCATTCAAGTGGCTGGAGAAAGGCGTTTAAGACATGTGTGACGCATTTATTTGTGAACGCCCTGTTTTATGTCCCGCGGGTGTTTGTCTACATTGCCAATTTTGTAAAGTTGGTCCTCAATCCCGACCTGGGGGTCTTCATCATTGTCCTACAATCCTATCTGCCACACTTAGCCAACCCTTTCATATACTGTCTGAGGACCGAGGAGATCAAGAAGATTATCTCTGGTACTTTTAAAAAAAATGTTAGCTTGAAAGTATGATTGACAACTGTTGCTATTTGTATTGTTGGTCCATCTGATTAGTACATTTTAAGTTGTGTCTGCTTCTCCTTTTATTAAGTTGATATTTTTACTGAGTTTCATGATTCCAATATGATACAGCTAGACCCCCCCCAACACCATCATGCAGTTCTAACCGATTGGCCAGGTACACCATTGTGCTCCAAATCTCCAATTTCAGCTTATCTCCAAGGATCTATGGCATGTGTAAAGTTGCAACTCGCAGAAGAACTTGGGATCCATCAAAGCAGCCAAAACTTTCCAATCTTCAGTCATCCAGTGCTGGTGGGCTGGTGAACCTCGTAGTCCTATTTTCTTCTCTTTGTAGACAGGAGGTACCCCAGCTTGTAGACAGGTGCAGTTAGGTACCAGAAAAGTGTTTGGTTACAGCTGCCAGTGTCATGGGTTCTAGACCCCTTGTCACATACCTGATTGGAGACTGAAATGACGAGGTTGGCCTCTCTTGTAACTCCAGCCTAGGTCCAGGTTAAGATGGAACAGAGGGATAGAGGGTACAGAGGGACAGGAGGAACACGAGTGATTAGTTCCCAGGCAGGTTGGCAGAACATCAGGTCAGGAACAGTAACTGTGCATGGAGATCCAGTCGAAGATCAAGGGGCACTCCACATAGACTGCAGATTCCAGATGTGAGGCTTGTCAGATCTCCCAACAGACTTGAAACAGGAACTCCTGGTATTGAGCAGATGGCAGCCAGGTAGACACTCGGACAGGATCTGAGAACAGAGCCAGGACAGAAGCGTGGTCACAGGGATAACAGAGTTCAGCAGCGAGGTACAGAATCATAAGGCAGAGATGTGGTCAAGAAAGGAAAGTTGGAACGAGACCACTGAAGTTGAAGAAACCATAGCACTCGTTGTGCAGCCACACAAAACAGTCTATATCTACGGCTACCAGATGGGCTTGGGAAAAGATCCAGTGCTACATTTCCGGGACATGGGAATTCTTGACAACTCTGATCCACCTACTGAGAATCCCCTGCCACCTGCAGTAAACTAGTCTGGCTTTCCAATGTTGATACGGCTTCAGTCACTCCGTGGACAGGGAGTCAGGAACTGGCTACAAGGCAGAAGTAGGATCCAAGTTCAGGCCAGAGGCAAGCCGGGTCAGCAACAAGGGAACGAGCAGAGTAGTAGCAGGGGGCAGGGAACAGCTGAAAACATGAGCAGAAGCATCCTTAAATAGTCCATCTAGAGCCAACACACCAAGTGCATGCCCTTTGCTTCTGCTCGTACCCGTGCACATTCCATGAGTGCACCTGATCACCATTCTGCTGGGAATGTTGCGCATTTCTGTAAGCCAAACCTCTGATAGGCATTACCTGACACCCCTTTTAGGTAGAGCCCTCCTGCAGTGATGTCAGAGGGGAGTCAGCACCCATATACAAGTCAGATGAGTCAGCGGATCACACAAACTTGGGGCATGGGAGCCAAACACCCCACAGCTATGTGGATATAACTACCACATGTAGGCCCTGGACAGGGCAGGAGGTTGATTGGGGTGGACCTGTATGCAGGAGGAGCCGGCTGTAGTCTTTCTGTCCGTTATGAAGGTGAGGGCTAGGGCAGACTGCCAAAGGACTTTCAGGCCAGGGCTGTGTGAAGCTGCTTCACTGGTGGGTTCCTTGGAGAGATGTAGCTAGCAAGAAGGTGACTACAGAGAGCACAGTCCTGTGACCAATATTGACCCAGATAGATAGGTGCTGAGGTTCTGCGCATGCTTTCGCGTGTGACTACTGCAGAACGTCCACTAAATGTGATTGACTGTGTAACGTGACTCCAGATTGTCCATGTGATGTGACTGTAGTACCATTTCCTGAATATCACCAGTAAAGTGCAGCAAAACTACTTCTTGTGTGGACATTTCTTCCTAGGGGAATACAGAGGTCTATGGCCAGGAGGTCGAGTGGGGTGGACCTTTATGCAGGAGGAGCCGGCTGTAGTCTTTCTGTCCCTTATGAAGGTGGGGGCTAGGGCAGATTGCCAAAGGACTTTCAGGCCAGGGTTGTGTGAAGCTGCTTCACTGGTGGGTTCCTGGGAGAGATGTACCTAACAAGGAGGTGACTACAGAGAGCACAGTCCTGTGACCAATAATGACCCAGACTGAAGGACAGATAGGTGCTGAGGTGTTGTGCAAGCTTTCGCCTGTGACTACTGCGGAACATCCACTAAATGTGATTGGCTGTGTAATGAGACTCAAGAATGTCCATGTGATGTGACTGTAGTAGCATTTCCTGAATATCACCAGTAAAGTGCAGCAAAACTACTTCTTGTGTGGACATTTCCTCCTTGGGGATACAGAGGTCTCTGGCCAGGAATGTCATGTGGAGGCCTATGGCAAGTAGCAGGGTGCAAGATGGTGGAGGGTTTGCCCTCAGCAGGAGGGACAGTGTTCTAGCAGGACTGGAATGGGGGTAGGGACTTGTGCAGTGGTGCCAGACCAACTAACCACGAAGCCCCTCTTACAGCGTATCTTCTACTGTAGTCCTTCCTCTTCAAGATTCCCCATGTTGAGTGTTCATGGATGGTCTTCAGCACAACACTTCTGGAAAGAGAGGCCATTTGAGCAGCTATCAACCTGAATCTGGCCAACCTCGCCTTCTCTCACACACTAACATTGTGTTGCCACCTGCTGTTGTTTTTTTTTTTCTCTATAAAATTTACAGACCTTAGTGGGTGAAAAAGCTCCAGGAGCTCCGACGTCTTAGATTCTGCAACCGCCAAGCCTGCCCCACCAATCATCTGGCAGTAAAAGCTGCTCAGAACACGCTTCCATGCACACATATACACTGCATACCTGTTAATATTCAGTATTCAGCGAAAATTCAGCTTCTGGACAATGGATCGATTGAAGGGCCGGATATAAGGGGGTGCTGGGGTTGCACTGTGCCCCCCCCATATTTTAGCAGGGGTCTGAGAGTGCATCCACTGATTCATTAGCCAGGTTAATGTGAATAGTTTATGTAAAGAAGCACACTGATGGGGGCACCTGATGTAAGGGGGCACTCTGATGGGGACACCTGATGTAAAGGAAGCACTCTGATGGGGACACCTGATGTAAGGGGCACTCTGTTGGGGATACCTGTTGTAAGGGGGACTCTACTGGGGAAAGTGATGTAAGGGGGCACTCTGATGGGGTCTCCTAAAGTAAGGGGGCACTCTGATAGGGACACCTGATGTAAGGGGGCACTCTGATGGGGACACCTGATGTAAAGGAAGCACTCTGATGGGGACACCTGATGTAAGGGGCACTCTGTTGGGGATACCTGATGTAAGGGGGACTCTACTGGGGAAAGTGATGTAAGGGGGCACTGTGATGGGGTCTCCTAAAGTAAGGGGGCACTCTGATAGGGACACCTGATGTAAGGGGCACTCTGATAGGGATACCTGTTGTAAGGGGGACTCTACTGGGGAAAGTGATGTAAGGGGGCACTCTGATGGGGTCTCCTAAAGTAAGGGGGCACTCTGATAGGGACACCTGATGTAAGGGGGCACTCTGATGGGGATACCTGTTGTAAGGGGGACTCTACTGGGGAAAGTGATGTAAGGGGGCACTCTGATAGGGACACCTGATTCAAGGGGGCACTCTGATGGGGATATCTGATGTAAGGGGGACTCTGCTGAGGAAAGTGATGTAAGGGGGCACTCTGATAGGGTCACCTGATGTAAAGGAGGCACTCTGATGGGGACACCTGATGTAAAGGGGCACTCTGATGGGGATACCTGATGTAAGGGGGACTCTATTGGGGAAAGTGATGTAAGGGGCACTCTGATGGGGACACATGATGTAAGGGGGCACTCTGATGGGGACACCGATTAAGGTGGAGTAGCCATGATGCACAGAGGGACTCTGATGATTACTCCTCATGTAAAAGGGGACTCTAACAGGGACATCTGTATAAGGGGGCACAGTTCTGCTTAATCACCCCAATTTAACGACAGCCTAATACATAAGAGTGCTCCCCAGGTGGTGACATCATGTGGAAGACTGTAAGAGACTCACACACAGTGTTGCCATTACGCCCCCTAACTTTTTTTTTTTTTTTTTTTACTGCACCCCCAGGTCAGACATGCTGGATCCTGCCCTGATCAATTGTCTGAAGTGACCCCCCCCCCCAAAAAAAAAAAGTCCACTAGAAAAGCCTTGTAATATTCAGGACGGGGCTGATATGTATCCTGGGTGAGATGTATCAGTGAGATCTGTCAGCGGGATCCTGTTTAGATACCAAGAATACTTGACTGAGCAAATCTGCCATGTTGGGTTTGCAAGACCTTATAAAATCCCAATTGAAATCCACAACCCCCCCCCAAGCGTAGCATGGAACCCCGTTGAAGTCTATGGGGGGTGGTGAATCTCGATTTCAAAGCTAATAATAGTTAAAAAAGGGGCCTACCCATGCATACTGGCTCACACCCCCTCCCCCCCATACTGACTCACCTATTCCTCATACTGCCTCACACCCCCTCCCCCCATACTGACTCACCTATTCCTCATACTGCCTCACACCCCCTCCCCCCATACTGACTCACCTATTCCTCATACTGCCTCACCTACCTCCCCATACTGACTCACCCACCCCCATACTGCCTCACCTACCTCCCCATACTGCCTCACCCACCCCCATACTGCCTCACCCACCCCCATTCTGCCTCACCTACCACCATACCCTCACCTACCACTCATACCGCCTCACCTACCACTCATACTCATCACTGCCTCACTCTACCCCCAATCCTGCCTCACACACCCCCATACTGACTCACCTATTCCTCATACTGCCTCACCTACCTCCCCATACTGCCTCACCCCCCCCCATACTGCCTCACCTACCACTCATACTGCCTCACCTACCACTCATACTGCCTCACCCAACCCTCATACTGCTACACCTACCTCCCCATACTGCCTCACCCACCCCACCCCCATACTGCCTCACCCAACCCTCATACTGCCTTACCCAACCC